GCAGGGATTCCCCCCTCTCCTCTCCAATCCTCCAGGGTTGAGTGGAGGAACGGACGGGAGAGGGGTTGGGCATAGCAGGCTCTGCCTCTAGATAGGCAGAGCCAGCTGTCACTCAAGCAGCTGGGTGGATCCAGACAGTATTGTCAGAGTCCATCCCGGCTGCGGCGCTATCAGTTGCCCGCGATATACTGAACTTTGGGTCACGGGAGGCAGTTATTCCCTAAAGAGAACTATGGGGAAAAACACTTACCCCTTAGTGCTTTTCTAACTGTACCCTTCAACCGGAAAAACCTGAACTCACATATTTGGCGCAATTTATCTATACATTTGGTGATATAGTGTATCTTGTTCTTGGGGAGGCATGCTTTAACAGTTCAGCTGGGAAAGGGATCTAACAAAAGACTGTGGTATAAGACAAATGTCCATAAATGTCCTTTCGAAGACAATCATGGGGGAAGCACTTACTATGCTATGGGGGTAGACAATAGTGGTCAGATGGCAAAAATCCAACCTGGCAGATTGGTTTTCAATCAGAGGAAGCTAGTGATAGGGTTGTTTGCCATTGTCAAGTAGGGCCTATACATATATGTAAAAAAAACATTAGAAACATGCTCCCGGATGTCTATCGGCACCTTTAGTAAACATATTTGACAACTAATTTATTCCAAACAAATTCAGACTTCAATAAAGTAGTTGTGAACCAAATCAATAAACTTACATTTCAAAAGGCAGTTTCCAATATTTTTAAATCTGCAACATTTCTTACAACTGATGATCCTGCCATGAAGGTGCTTGTTTAGGCGCTTCCTTTTCTGGGTTAAAGGAGAACTATGACTTAAGGGCAAATAAAAATACCCCTTACCTTGATTGTAGTAGCATCGTTGTTTTTTTCTAAATTCGCAGCACATCACAGATAAAACCCTCAAAACCTGTAGTAAATGACCGTCTTCACCCATGCTCCTCTTAGGGGGCGTTAACATTTGATCCAGCCCGCCCACAGCTTTTTTTCTTCAAATGATCTCATCGCTGTGGCCGCGCTTCCTCTCATCGTGCACAGCTGTGTTTTGTCAGCTCGTGCATGCAGGCTCCTTCCCCTCTCTCTCTCTGCCCTGTGTGACGCTGACATCCTCAATTCACTGGGGATCGCTGATGAGAGAGGGGAAGGAGCCCTCTCTCTCTCTTCAGCATTTACTACAAATGGGAAAGTCCATATTTGGTAAATGGTGTCACTGGGGATCTCTGCAGACTGGCAAGCATCCGATCTGCAGGGATCTCCAGTGACATAATTTACCATATATGGACTTTCCCATTTGTAGTAAATGTTGAAGAGAGAGGGAGAGCTCCTTCCCCTCTCTCATCAGCGATCCACGATCATTTTAGTATGTCAGTGTCAGCAGGGAGAGAGAGAGAGAGGGGGGAAGGAGCTGGCACACGGGGACATGCAGGTAAGGAGAGAGCTGCTGCACATGTCCATATATTCGTGGACGCGCAGCAGCTCTCAAGAATCACTGTCAGTCATCGGTGGGGAGGATCCCGTCAGATACGTTGGGATGTCTTCTCATTGCGGCGCTTAGCCCCGCCCACCACCTTAAATAAGGGTTTACAGCCTTACTGTGCATTTTGGCTAATTAGAGTAAATTACATTATTTACTTATTTAGCCTAAGGAATGCATTAATTAAAACAAGATAGAACCCCATAGTTCCTGCATTGTCACCCTGTCACATGGAATTCCAATGGAGACTACAACTGGCTGATTCAACACACATTTTACAGGCGTAATGTACTATTGTCACCATCAGGAAACTGCCCTGAGAAATGTCATGCAGCCAACGCTAGACTGCATGTAGAAAGGAAGTGGCTGCATAAGACCAGCAACAAATTGTAGGAAAAAAAAGTATACACAAAATACATACATAGTATCATACACAGTGCTTTAGCAAACTAAATGTCATTCAGTTAGAGATTACCTCTTCTTTAAAATGACAGTGCCAAGAGCAGTTACCCACAGCAACCAATCACAAATGTTAACAAGCTGACTACCTAAAGCTAAAATATTGGCAGCTGCTGTTACTAAATACACTTTGCAGATCTTCATTACTGAATAAGCCTATGTGCTGTTGTTTAGTCAATAAGTTGAGACGAGATCTTATAACCCCATGCAGTGCTGTCTGTCGGCAGATACCTCTCTGATCTCTTCCAGGTTCACACTCTTCAGTAATGCTGCTTAAACACTTTTGCTGGTGTTACCTGCTCCTTTTGCATTCAAGCTTCTCCTGCATCAAAGTCTTTTATAGAGAGCCTTGCCTACTGCCTCTAAAAATGTAGTCAGACCTATGCAGTAAGGCTGGGTTCACACCTAGGCGTATTGAATATGCGCGTTTGTCGCGCGTGTTTTTACCGCGATTCACGGTAAAAAACGCGCAACAAGCGCCCGTTTCCGAGGGCTACTTGGCTGTATCCCAATGGAAACGCGAGACCAAAACGCCCCAAAGAAATACATGTACTTCTTTGGGCGTAGGCCGTTTTGTATCGCGTTCGGACAGCGGAAATACGGCAGGGTGTAAACCAGACCCGTTGAATACAATGGGATTTAGATGTTTGAGCGTTTTGTAGAGCGTTCGTCGAGCGTTGAACGCGCTACAAAACGTTCAGGTGTGAACCAGGCCTAAAAGTGTGATGCCTGAAGAAGAAACTTAAAGGGTATATATGGTCAAAAACAAAAAAAATTAGCATTTTTAGATTTCATTATCATGAGTTCTTTAAAACTCCTTATAACCAATAATCAATCTAGAGGTTTGTAAAACTTGCTTATTTAAGATGCCCATAGGACAGGGGTGGCAAACTCAAATTCATCGGGGGCCGCATCAGCAGTATGGTTACCCTCAAAGGGCCGGTTGTATAGGACTATGCATCTACTCTTTATTATCATAAATAGTTGCCTCTGCATTCAGTTGCTACTGGTTTTAATAATAATTTAAGTAATAACTAGCCTTGAAAACATCCACAAGAAACTTTATTGGAGACTGCTCAGACTGCAGCAGAAATCCCTAATCTGGCGTTTTCAAGTGACAGCTGTCACCTAGTCAAGTTAATGATACGGGCCTTGTGTTTGCCACCCACCTACCTTCTCAACGCACTGACACAATTTCACTCAGCCCTGTGAATACGCACTTCATTGGGTCTGCCTTCCGAACAACAACTCGACGTCTGAACAATGTAACATTATCATTGCTTGCTGAAAGCAATGCATTATGGGCCGTATAGTCGTGAGAAATCTAGATTGCATCAATTCAAGTAGCATGGAAAGAGACACAAAGCACACTGGGAATCCAGGAAGTTGTTGAAAGTGATGAGCAGATGGAAGGCAGCTCTCACTACATAGAAAGGATTTTTTTTTGTAAGCTTTGATTGCATTATCAAAAATAACTCCAGTATAGTATGTATTTCTATTACAATGCTGATGTTATAACCAGATTGTATATGTTGTGACTTTAGGACTCTTCAAAGCGGACCTTTACACCCAAAATCAAATTCTACCAATGCAACCCTCTATGTATGATAATTAATAATAACAACATAGACATGTCAGGTGTAAAATGCTGTGATAGTGAAATACTTATACACTTGCAGAGCATTCACTTCCTGCTTTGAAAGGGCAAAATGACTTCAGGGATTGCCTTGTCATCAGCAGAGCATTGCTGGGAAATCTCATCTGTAATCTCAGGAGATCTCAGGGAAAGGCATTTCCTCCCCTGAGATGATGTACATGGTCACATGTCCTAGTCACATGTGCCAGAAATCCAGGAAGTAAAAGGAGAGCTAGTAAACTGCCCTTAGTAAACATGGCCACTGTCAGAAGACTGGGGAAGAAAAGAGAAATAAGGTATGCAAAGAATACAAAGCTGGCAATTATCCCCAAGTATGTGTTTGTAGATTGTCATTACTAAACATTTCCAAAGATATGGGTAGAGGTCCACTTTAAGGTCACCTTTCTCCTCCCGTCTGCATGTTACTTGTCAGCACATGCAGTAGAGCTTGACTGGCTGTGATTACTGACCCTTTCTAACCCAGGCTACTTCTGTTCAGGATATTAGAAAAGGGGATGACATCTAAGACACATTCAGGAATTTACTTTACCTGCATATGTTTCAAGGCTTTTAGTGAATACATAACTAACCTTCATCCATCTGTTAGAAAATTCTGATATGTCAGTTTTGGGTAGACTGACTCTTTAAGAAAGAAAGTTTAAAGCTGAACTCCAGGATTGTCAAATATTGCCTAAAAACAAGACTCATGTGTATTCTTACTTGAATCTTGCTGTGCTTTGTGTATTCCTTCCAGATCTATGCAGTAATCCAGTGTGAAACTTTACCTCCTTCTTGTAATAAAGACCGCTCACTGTTGCTCTGTCTCCTTGTACAGGGTGCCTGGTCTTGTCTTCGCCCCCTCCTGACCCTCTGCACAGGCTATGTACAGCACAGTAATGATGTCACAGCTACTTTTACAAAATAAAGGCATTTGGTGCACATAAAGTGGATTTGTGGCTATTGGGCAATATAATTGAATTAAAGTTTTTGTGCCCGGATTTAAGATTTAGGCCTTGCCCCCTACTGATGCTTTTGTGTCTGGAGTTTACCTTGAGAAAGACTAATCTCAGCTCTCTTAGATCTGACTGACAGCCAGAACATCCAAAATGAAAAGCCTCTGACAGAAAACTCTACTTTTATAAAAGCTAAGATCTCAGCAACTTTGTCTATTGAACAATTAGGTGACAATTCTGCTGACTACCTTCCTCCAGCGTTAGATCAGATGACTTTTCTGAAACTGAGAAATTAAATCAAAACAACACCTTGAGATTGATTTGTTTGCAGTGTATCAAGGTCTATAAAGCATGTTCATGCATTCTGATTTTATAATGCATGTTCAGGAATCACATAAAATTGCATTTTTTTACAAATAATAATACAAAGTGGCTGGGAGAAAAAAAAACGACTATTACCTTTCTCTGAGAGAAGATCGGTTTAGGACAGGGCTGGGTGGGTGCCTTAGTACTGAGGATGGAGCCGATCGGGAAAACGAAGCCCTGTAAGGGGATGCAGCACCACTTTCTTTCTCTAGGGGCATCAGGTCATTCAAACTGTCCAAGGACATCTGAAGGTCGTCAATGTGTATCCTTTGGGAATCCTGTAAACAAATCATTTAAAAAAATATACATTTAAAGAAAAACTCTGCTAAGCATGTATTCCATCCAAACAAACCACATGACATACTTATATATTTTAGGACAGCAAACCTTTAATTTATGATTTATGACATCCTTGAGACTCTAAGGGGCTGATTAATAAACTTTTCGCACAGCTCTTCACTCTGCGAATGAGATTAGCAGCTCTGTATTCTTACGCTCCTCGGCACCATCTAGTTGCCATACAGCAAGAGAAATCTCATTCGTACAGAGAAGAGCTGTGCAAACGGTTTATTAATCAACCGTTATGAGTCAAATGTGTAGGACATCCTCCTACTCGTCAGGATGTCAAAGGTTTGATCCCGAATACAGTTTCATGAACCAATAGGCTCTTTCCTTTGTGCAAATCTGTGTCAGTTCTGGTGGGGGTGGGTACAAATACAACATGGCTCTCATAGACTCCCCATGACCTTAAAACAGCACAAACACAATTTAGGCTTGACATAGATGAACAGATACATCTCTATAACAGAGAGCGGGCAAATACCTGCAAATGCAGCTCAAATGTGGTTAGCCTAGCATAGTTGAGCCCCTTAAGTATAAGCGATACTTTTGATCATCATGCTTTTCTGCAGAACAGTATAGGGATCAGGACCTGCGATCAATAAAATCTTACATATCTGTAAATCTCTCTATGTGACAAGAAGCCCTCCTGACTATGTGAGGATCTCCTTATCACTCTTATGGTGGCCATACACGGAGCATATATATACTCACAGCGCTCTCCTGTCGCAGCGCTAGGTCGCCTGTCACACTTTCTCTCCTCCCGGCTGGGACACAGAGCAGCGCCCAGCGGGGAGGAAAGAAATCAGGGATACGTTAGATGGTCGAGAGATAAAGTATTTTCCGTTGAGGCTCTGGTGGCGAGACCCCCTCAGTTCTCATGTGAGATGTGATCCCATTTTCCCTGCTCAAATGTTCATTTATTTAATACTGTACACTTTAATCATTCATTTTTATTGGAAGTTTTCAGAAATACAGAATCAGGCTATAGGTAGGACAGGGATCATTTGCACACAAATAGCCTATCGATCTTCACGGAAAATGTAGTATAAACAGAGTCCCGGGTTTTGTAAAAACTGAACCACTGCGATCGGATTGGAAGAAGGAGAAGAGAGAGAACTGAAGAAGCAAGAAAAGGAAAGAAGAAGGGAAAAAAAGGAGTGTGTGGGGGGGGGGGGGGGG